ATTGGTTTTTAAAATATTATGAAAGCAGTACATGCCTACTGGAGGGTAAAGCCAAACATACGGAAGTGTACAAAGTAAAAGTCGGAGTGTCTCTACTCACCCCCTCTTCAGGAACACTGTTAACAATTTGTTCCACTGTCTTTAAACAAACCTTAAGTAAGACAGCCCAAAAAGACTCGACACTGGAATGCTACAAAAGTCATCTACATTCTTTTTACTTCAACCACCTTAAAATACTACGTGAAGTGATCAATGTTCACGTTGATGGCAGGTGCAGAATGAGGAAATAAACTGAAGGCCTTAAAGGAATGATTTCTTTCCTGTAATCTAAAAATACCTTAGAATTCTGGGTAACTCCCAGCTCTGTCTGGACTCTCAGATTAGTACCTGCTGTTTCCAGTTCCCGTCTATTCCATCTCCCCAACCACCTCTGAATCTCTAAATGTCACTGACAAGAAGTTAACAGGCACAACAAGAGGGTGCTCCCAAAGCACGTGAAGACTCAAGGATTATGGCTGACTTCTCAGTTTAAAATAGGTGAATTCTATACCTAACAGATTCCACTGGAGACATAAAACCACACTGTCTACAAATTTCTCTGATAGTGGGAGTAGAGTTACACCCAAAATTCCAACCAAGGTGACCTGGATATAATCTCTAGGAGTCAGAAAAGGGAAGGGTAGGACTAGAATTTTATAATTTAACAAACTCAAATCTAATCACTTGTATCATACATAATCTGCCTAGAGAAAGACTGTGGGAATCAAAAGAAGGCTGGTTAGCCCAAAATATAGAACTCAAAGGCCAAAAGAGCCAGAGGTTGGCAGACTTGTCAAACACTGTACAAGGTGGGGCTGGCCCCGTGGCGGAGTGGTTAAGTTCGCGCGGTCTGCTGCAGGCGGCCCAGTGTTTCGTTGGTTCAAATCCTGGGCGCGGACATGGCACTGCTCATCAAACCATGCTGAGGCAGCGTCCCACATGCCACAACTAAAAGGACCCACAACGAAGAATACACAACTATGTACTGGGGGGCTTTGGGGAGAAAAAGGAAAAAAATAAAATCTTTGGAAAAAAAAAAAAAACACTGTACAAGGGACAGGATTCTGGCCCGTGGATGTGCATCACCGACTGCTTCTCACAAAGCAACCTTCTAATTATAATCCGACTTCTCGAGTGGCCTGACTACAAGAACAGGGCACGCCTAAACAATGACGTCTGTATTCCGGGCTGCCTGGTGGCTCTATATTTTATCAGAGTAATAAAGTGGCATTCTGGCTCATATATCAGTCCCCTGTGACAATGAGCAGCATAAACCAGTTTTCTTGGCTCTTATCAACTCTGGGTACCTGACAGAATGAAGTTTCTTTTTCAGAAAGACTGAACACCAGACATGAACTATGGTGACCAAAAAGAGGTCAGGCCACCCTGTGCCACCACACGGAGCACAACCCCTGGCCTTCCCTGACAACATCCCGTTTGGGTGCACTCCTACTACACTTAACAGCATCTCCTTCTGGGGATTAAATGCCTCAAATCCATCTTACTGATCATCTGTCTCCCCTGAGACACAAATGTAAGCTCTCTGACAGTGGGATTTTTATCCATTTTGTCCACTACTAAATCCTAAGTGCCCAGAACAGTGCCTGGCTCACTAAATATCTGACGAATGAATGAACGCAAAAATGGTAAACCACTAAGCCTAACACCCTTGGCAAGGGAAACCAAATTAAAACTTGTTAAGTTAAAAGCCTGATGACAAAGTGCAACAGGGACATGTTCAAAGGAATACACTGAATAACTAAACTAGACAGTAATTCCTTGGAACAAACCACCTACACAGTGCTTTACAGTTTACAAGCACTCTCCCTCTCATATGCTCTCATGTGATCCTCTCCATAGTCTAGAAATACTTTCTCTCAAGGAAACCAGAGCCCTCCACTTCAGTGTCCACCGTAAGCACTGCCTCAACCCCTCCCCTCTCCTATCAATACCAAGACATGTGTTCCTGTGCCATGCAGGACTCTAAATATGCAGATCCTAAGGAAGTTCTCAATCTTTCTCAACCCCAAGCACACTAAAGGCAGGATATGGCACGCTTTAGTAACATTCCTATAACCGTGAATAGCAGTGGTAGAAGGAAAACAATAACTAACATTTATAAAGCACTTCTTATGCATGCCAGGTACCGTGCTAAACAAGCATTTGCAGGGACGACCGCTTGGATACGTCAGTGCTAGGGGTGCTATTGTCCCCCTGATTTTATAGACGGGAAAGGCATGACACTGCGAGTTTCAGGGACTTGCAGCCACACTCCAGGGCAGTATTCCCAAGGACTGCCACACTTTGACTCAGCATTACAGTTTTCTGTCCTTAAGGAAAAAACTCCAAACAAAAAGATACCAACATTCCATAGAATGAAATGATTAGGAAAAGAGCAGAGGTTTTAAAGTTAATCTACAGATACTCCCTCAGTGCCTATAACGTGTGCAGCACTATTCAAAGCAGGGACACAGAAGCAGAAGACATACTCTGTCTCCAGGGGGTTTATAACAGAGTGGAAAGAAGAGAATCACTAACAGTGAACGTCTGTATAACATTTTACGGTTTAACAAGATGTGCTGCCCCACACATTCTCGTGTTTGAGGCTCACCAATAAGCCCACAAGGACCTACTTCATAAGAGACGAAGAGTGTGAGGGCCTGAGGATTTAGGCGATGTGGCAAAGTTCAAGGAGCTGGCAGGCGGCAGTGTCATGGTTCCAGAACCCACCTTCTAATTCTAAACCAAGCTGGGTAGGAATGGAAGAGATGCCCCAGGCTAGAAGGCAGGAAAGGAAAGGGCAGCAGGAAAGAAACCAAAGGAGAGATCAGAAAAGAGGAGAGCAGGACAGCACACAACATGGAAGCCACAGAAGACAGACTTCAGGAAGAACTCAATGCTTCTTGCTACAGGTCAAGAACAATTTAAACATAATGGCAAGGCCACCTGAGAAAGGACATTTTTAGCAAAGCATAACTCTATGTTACTATACTGAGCCAGAGATTGTTCAAGTTATTTACAATAAATAAATGAATACTTCAAAAGTGCTAGTAGCAGTGCCTGGTACACAGTATGCACAACATAAGCATCTGCTAAATAAATAAAACATAACCATTCCTAATACTTATTGATTACATGGTAAGACAAAATTCATATAAAAATGTCAATACATCGGTTAACTATAATTCTCAACTACCCCACAGAAGGGAAAACACTCCTTAACAGAATTTGAACAATGTTTCTCAATTACGAAGAGAATTAGCATGATTCTGAAGAACTGTCCCTAATAACAAGCACCAATAAATGTTGGTGATGTGTCTAGACACTGAACTAAGAACTTTATAGTAATTATCTCATTTACTCCTTACTACAACCCTAAGAATGAAATCAGGGGTTTCATTCATTTTGTGGGGCGTGAAGCTTATAAATGTGGGGGCCCTCTTTTAAGGAAAAAGTACCTTTTACCTTTATAAAATTTATAAAACCATAGGACCATAAGAGCACATTGCTAGGACTCTTCCCAGGGCCTTGGAAGGTACTATTGCAAGTGAAATGCCATGAAGTTTAAGCTCGTTAAATTCATGGTATATCCTTCTCTAGGTTAGATATTAACAACCCCGTTTCTCTGAAGAGAAAACTAAGGCATAGAGAGGTTCAGTGACTCTCCCAAAGCCATAACTATATGCAGATGCATCCTGCCTGATTCTAGTGCTTGTTCCTTGACCATGATGTATCTGCCTCTGTGAAGGCTGCTCTAGTTCATAACCTCATGAGAAACATCTGCCGTACACAGCATGTGAGGGGTAGAGGGTGTTTATGGTGCATCAGGGACTAACAACGGTGGGGTTGGTGGCCTCAAGACCCACCCGTTCTAAATAATCCTCATCCTGTAGAGATCTCATCCTATAGGAAGTATTTGGGGGGAATCCTCATGTCTTGGGGCTCATAACACTGGTAGGATATGAAAGACCCAATGTTAAATCAGATCAGGTCACTCCCCTGATTTGAGGCAGCAGAGACTCGACCTAGTTTGGAATAAGATCTTTACTGTGTCCCACAAGCCCCCACATTACCCGGCCCTTGCCTATTTGTTTCATTTTCTCTCTCACGACTTTTCCTTTTCTTACTACTTTCCAGACAAATGAGCCTTATTCTCCCTCCAGAATAAGCCAGCCTTGTCTATGTACACTTGTTATTCCGTCAGACTGGACATGCTTTTCACAGATCTCCTCATTGCTGGCTTCTTCAGGTTCTGGTTCAAAGCCACCTCCTTAGAGAAAAGGGTTATGCCTGACCCCATCTACAAAAGGATGCCCATACCCCCAAAATACATGCTTTATTCTCTTTAATTTTTCTCATAAACTTTATCATTATACGAAGAGTTTTATGTATTTTACTTGTTTAGTTGTTATCTAACTGTCCTAAAGAATAAAAGTTCCATAAGAACTAAAACCTGTGCTGTTCACAGCTGTAGCCCAGTTTCTACAAGAGTGGCACACAGTCAGTGCTCAATAAATATTTGCTAAAAGAATAAATGGCCCATCCCTAACTCAGTTCTGAAAAATAAACGTAGATCACTCAGTACGGACTGCTCTGATTGGGGTTACCAGCTGCAATGCCCAGGAGGAATCCTTTCCACAGGCTCCCAGGAGGAGTGCTCCCATGTCTCTGCTAGCGGATGACAATTCAATTAAGCAGCAGAATAATCAAGGTCCTCAAAAGTCTAGCTTATCAATCTACTTGGGATCAATCACAAAGTTAAATTCGTACATTACACTAAAAGGGTATGCTAGTATCTAAAATTTTGACAATAGGAATGTTGAGCAATGCACAACTTTATCATTGCCTAAAATATACAATATTGTGATTTAGTTTCACATATTCAGAATTTAGAAAACATGAGTTTAAATTAGGTAAGCAAGCACTTACTACATAGTTAAATATTCAAAAGAAAAACATACCTCCTAAAGCCCCACTGTGATCTAGACTTTTCTTTTTAAAGCCATTAGAGACGATCAAGACAGGAACAACAACAGAAAACAGCCAACGCCAAGGAGAAATGGGCTGTAAGTTACCTGAAAAAGTATAAAGGTAGAACACAAATCATGTGAAGCCTGCACAAGTTAGTCTTGGCTGTAAGCTTTGATAACTTTCTGCATTCTGGACTAAAATACAGTCACAGGTAGAGAAACAGGGATGAAGTTACCAAAGTAAAATATTTATGTTGAGATCTGCATGTCTTCAGAGAGACAATCCCACTGGGGAATGACCAAATAAGTCCTTCCAGGTTTTGAGAACCATTTAGTTATTAATAATAATGGGTTTTTCATACATATTTGGAGGTTTGAAATGAATCCCTGGCTCCTCACTTCTTTGAAAGGAGGCAAGTATTAAATCTCAACAACAGCACGGAGCAAACTCCTTTCTTAACAGGATCCGATTATTCCTCTCCCTGCCTTTCAGGAGATTTTTTTTTTTTTTTAAAGTAACATTCTCACAGGCTACACACCTCAGGATTCAGTGATTAGCAACTGATTTTTCCAAAAGTTGCATCTAGCTCACAGATGTTTTGTTGGGCTAGCACAATGTTTTCAAACAATTTGAGTCAATATCTAAAGATTAGGAGATTTCGTATAAAAGTCCAGATTCCTGGCTTCTTTTAAAAACTGTAAGTTACGCCCACGTGGCAGAACTGACCCCAGGTGAAGACAGGCCACCTCCTCATGGCTTCCCGGTTTAGAGTCCCTGCCGTTCCTGAACGACGCCCAAACACCAAGGCTGAGTGATTAGAGTAAGAGTGTGAACTGCTGTTTGCACCACGTTTCTATCAAAAACAGAAAAAAGAAAGACAAAGAGGCCCAAATGTTCAACCAGAAAACAGGAAAACCCTATTTCTGGAAGTGAAAACTACTCCCACGTGTTGCATATGCGAAGGCCTGGACAGCTTCACTCGTTAGCATCCGGCGCCTGGCCCTAGGGGCTCGAGCGCCCGAGCTTAGCATCCCGCCCGTTCTGTCGAGTCGAGAACAGGTGACACGGGCACTGAGTCTGCTCCTCCCGCACGGCCTGCCCCACGAACACACAGCCCCGAAAGCTGCCGTATTCGGTGCACACATCCGACTTTTCACGTGTCTCTTTCCAAAAGGACTAAAGTCTCAGAGGCTGCCACTTAGGATAGAACCATTTAAGAGTCCACTTTCTCACTCTACTTTTCACTGTTTCCTCTTAACCGAACAGTACTCTGTTTCAATGGGTACGAAGAAGTTTGTGCAAAGGCATACTCGTGCTCGAAGGGGGCTTCAAAACTTCAAAGATTTGAGCGCAGAGTACCTTAGACTTAAGCGAAGTGGCTTCAGACTTTAAAAGGAATCTGTTCTTTTGAAGTGACCAAACAGCAGACAACTCCCCCACGTCTCCAAATGTAAACATTATGCCACCTTTCGTTTTCACTGTTATTTTTACAGGACACACGGAATTGGTAACCGGCGTTACTAACGTTCTTTCCAAAAGCGTCACCGCAACGACTTTACAAAGCTGTTTCACTGACTTCTCCCCAAGACAGATGAAATAAATTCCGAAATAGGTGTGACTAGTACAGGACAAGCAGCATTTATTAAACGCTTTAAAACGTTCAGGGCACCGCTTGTTTCCGTGCTGGCAGGCCACTTAGGCCGCGGAAGCTCGCGTCCACGCAGACAGGGGTTTCGGGTCCCGCAGCGGCACCGTTTTAAAGTCCTCGGGCCGGGCGGCAGGGAGACGCCGCAGCGCCCACTCACCGTAATGGGTGCTGGCGGCCAAGGACAGAAGCCAGAAGGCCAGGGAGACGCACAGCACCAGGCCCAGAACGGCGACGCCGGCGATCATCTTCACCACCTGCCGCATCCGCCGTCACCAAGCCTGTCACGGGAACGACGGCGTGGGCGCCGGAAGAGAACGCCTGCGCCTCGGAGAAGTAAGCCGCGGGCGCCGCGCGAGCCCGAGCCCACCTCCGCAGACGCGCGCCCGCGCTCACCGAGCCGCGCCCGGCCACGCGGCCGCAGGGTCGGCGCCCAGAGTCCAGAGCCCAGTCTAAGGCCAGGCCGCAACGCCCCCCGCTGCCCGCGCCGCACAGCCGCGCGCATGCGCCGACTGGGGCCCAGGCACAGGTCCGGGCGCGCCGGTCCCGGCGCAGCACCCCGCGCGCATGCGCCGGCCTGGGTCCAGGCACACGTCCGGGCTCGCCCGCCCAGGCGCAGCACCCCGCGCGCATGCGCCGGCCTGGGTCCAGGCACACGTCCGGACGCGCCGGCACGGGCGCGGGCTCCTCACGCGCGCATGCGTCGGAGACCCCCGCCTCGCTCCCGTGTCTCCTGGGAGACGTGCCGAGGGCTTTCGGCTTCGGACGCCGGGGCGGAGGCCGCCTCGGGGTGGCGACAGATGAGGGACGCGCGCGAGGGCGGCCCCATCGCAAACGCGTTTCACCTGCGGCGGGGTGTGTCGCGTCGTGGAGACAAGCCTCTGGTTGAGCCGCTCGGGACGACGGCACCGTTTGCCGCGACCTGCGCCCGTCGTGTCCTCTGACCGCGCGGCGCGGGGCGGGGTGGGGCGGCGCGGGCCGGTTCCGGCGCTGGAGGAGCTCTCGGCGGCGGCCTCGTGCGCCTGTCCGCGTGAACCCCGGCGACAGGGTAGGGTGGAGCGTCAAGGCCGGGACCTCTGTGCCTGTGCGCGGGCTCGGGGCCAGCCGGCTGACCCACTTCCGCCGCCGGCGGGCCGGGGGGCCTGGGCGTCGGAGCCATTTTTCTCACGACCCTCTGGCTCGGGCACACGTGAATAACTGTGTTGGTGACCGGTGTAGGGAAGGAAGACATTTCCTCGTCCCAAATGTGGGTTCGTATGGCCAGAGACCGAGTTAAATTCATATGAGACAGAATAGCAAGAGAAAATTAAGCAAAGCTTTATGAGAAACCATGGCCTGGGGCCTTTCTTCCCAAAGGAAGAAAGAGCACCAAGAAGTGGGGTGCACAGAATGGTTATATACCCCCAAACAGGGTGTTTCACATGTCATTGAAATGTCCCTCCCACAATAGTCACAAGATTGCCCTGTCGCACAGCGCTTGATGGACACAGCAGGTAGTGGTCTGCTACCTCAGTGGGCATAGCAGGAGGCAAGCCGATTGTCTTGAGCTGGGTGGTCACAGGTGAGCGCATCAATCAGTTCCTAGCCTAAGGAAAGACGCTTAATCCTTAAAGAAATGCCAACGTTGGGAGGGGGAGGGAAGTTAGTTACAGGAGGTTACCAGACAAGCACAATAAAATGCAGATTTAAGTCCTTGCCTTTGGCATTGATTAAGAGTTTCTAGAGAGAAGGTCATCTCCTTTCTTCTTCCTGGTACGGAGAGGGAGGCACCTTTTACAGATAGAGATTTACCTTACAAATGTAAATGTGTCCTAACAAATGGCAAGTTCCTTTTCTCAGAGCCTCCTTCCTTGTCCCGGTTTATCAAAAGCAATCAGCCTCAAATAATCCTGATGCCAAAGAGACATATCTTGGGGTGGCCAATTCCAGGTCCCTACACCGGCCTTCCAGCCAGCATGGCTCCTCCGTTCCTCCCAGTGTCCAGATTACTGCTGCGTTCTCCATGAAACAAGTCATCTGGCTTAAGGCTGAAACGGTCTGCCGGAATTAACGTCATTAAAGTATCCTTGGTCTTAAAAAAAACATGATCTTACTGATGCAGGGTCGGTGAGCCGAGGAGTCGAAAGAAAGATTTCTTAGACTCTCAAGATCTGGCAGGAGTGCTCTTTTATTTAGAGAACAGTGTGGAATAGCATGGGGACAGGACCCATGGGCAGTCAGAGCTTCTGCTGCCGGCATGGGGACAGGACCCACGGGCAGTCAGAGCTCCTGCTGCTGCTGCTTCTGCTGCCCCCGCTGGCATGGGGACAGGACCCCATGGGCAGGCAGAGCTGGTGCGTGGGGACAGGACCCACAGGCAGTCAGAGCTCCTGCTGCTGCCGCTTCTGCTGCCCCCGCTGGCATGGGGACAGGACCCACGGGCAGGCAGAGCAGCTGCTGCTGCCCCCGCTGACATGGGGACAGGACCCATGGGGAGGCAGAGCTGGTGTGTGGGGACAGGACCCACGGGCAGTCAGAGCTCCTGCTGCTGCCCCGAGTTGAGGGTTAGGGCTCAATTTAAGGCATAGGTATATGATTCATCTCTTTACAAGACAAAGGAAAGAACATGAAAAAAAAGTTAAAATGGTATCAGTGCAGATGGGGTCTGGTCATTGGGTGATCCCATGACTTTTAGACAAGAATCAAATCGGATTAAGTAAAGGTTAAAAAGGTTAGACGCCACCACCCTAAACCAGTTACATGAGATTGCCAGACAGCAACCAACTTAAGTTCTTGCCTTCCCCATTAAGAGCTTCTAGAGATAAGACCATACCCCCTTCTTCCTGGCACAGAGAGGGAGGCATCTTCACAGATAGAGGTTTCCCTTAGAAATGTAAATGTTTCCCAACAAAGGGGCAAACAAATTCCACTCCTTGGAGCCTGAATCTCATCTGTAGTTTTAAAACTAACCAGCCTAAAAATCCTCATAAGCCATTTTAAAATTAAGCAGCCTAAAAATCCTCATCATTACAGTCCAGTGATTTTTATAGACATTAACTGATGGGGGCTCGGGAGCCTAGGAGTCAAAAGAAAGATTTTGTGGACTCTCAAGTTCTGGTAGTAGTGCTCCTTTATTCAGAAATGGTGTGGGGACAGGACCCACAGGTGGTGAAGGCCTGCAGGCGTGGGGACGGGACCCACGGGCGGGGAAGGGCTCAAGTGTTGAGGGTTAGGGCTAAATTTATAAGGCATGGGTACATGACTTATTTTTACCAAAGAAAGATGATGTAAAAAGTCATGAAAATGGTATCAGTGCAGGTGGGGGTCTGGTTATTGTGTGGTCATATAACTTTAGATAAGCATCGGTTCATATAGATCAGCATGTAGGCCAGGATGCCCTGGGCTTCTCTCCCTGGGGCAGCCTTGGTGCACTCATTCACTAGGTTAAAAAATGTAGGGGCTGGCCCGGTGGCGCAGCGGTTAGGTGCACACATTCCGCCTCAGTTGGGATCCCGCGTGCGGACATGTCACCACTTGGTAAGCCACGCTGTGGCAGGCGTCCCACATATAAAGTAGAGGAAGATGGGCATGGATGTTAGCTCAGGGCTAATCTTCCTCAAAAAAAAAAATATGTAAGCAGTCTTTTTCTATTCATTTTAAAAGGCATTTTCTAGCTGGAGAATTGCTGGCGACAAATAAAAATGGCAAGCAATAGGATATATTGGAGTATATGAGGAAGCCATTTGGTATAAACCTAATTCGGCCTGACTTTTTTTTCAAAAGGGCCTGACTGTGGCTATTGAGCACGCATTGCATATCTGCTTAGACATTTCCTTTGGCCAGAACAAAGGCCCTTGAGATAAAGGTGCAACTTCCCCCCACATTAGCATTTCCTTAGGGATAAGCATTTTTCCTTAGGCTAGGAACTGATTGCTGCACTCACCTCCCAGCTCACCTGTGACCACACAGCTGGAGACAACAGACTGCCACCCTGCTGTGTTCACAGAGACGGAAGACCTACCTGCTATTTCCATCAATCGCTGTGCCGACAGAGCAGTCTTGTGACTATTGTAAAAGGGACATTTCAATCCTATGTGAAACATCCTCTTTGAGGGTATATAACCACCCTTATACCCCCACTTCTTTGGAGTGCTCTGTTCCTTTGTGGAAAGACTCTCCCGGGTTATAATCCTCAGATTTAAGCTCAGAATAAACTCACCCAAATTTTCATTTATAGATTGGATATGGATTATTTTCGTCGACACTGGTTAGGGGTGAGGACACTAGTAGGTGCGTCCACCACATCCAGCCTCCTCCAGCACCTCCAACATGTTTCAGGGCGAGAAGTCCCGTGTCCTCTCAGGACCACGACTGCGTTATTAAATGCTGCAAGAAGGTAGGAAACGTGAATGCCTTTGTTTAAACCTTTCCAGCAGAGTTAACTGTTTTACCAGATTCCTTTCCCTCAGAAAACCTGACCGTTTGAGGATTTCTATAGTAATCAGAGAAGCAGACTGAAAGTTCATTGTTGGACTAGTAATCATTAGATTTCACAATATAAATACGTATTTCTGTTGAAGCCTTCTTTAACACAAATAAGTTCGGATTTTTCTGGGATAGACACTTGGTGCTTAACACCAATTGTAAACTCATCTCAATGACAAAAAGCACTTAATCTTGCTGGGAAAATATCAGTGGATTCTATGTGCAGTCCCTTTGAATTTAAGCCAAAGGAGTGGTTTAGATTTTCTGAAATCTACTAATATTTGAATGCCCAATATATACATGTCAGACCCCTGAGGTGCAAAAAGAAAAAACAGAACACACACATACTTCCTTGAAGGAAGAGACGATGAAAATAGATATGTACAATTACATTATAATATGACTTTATCCAAGTTATGGGTAAAGCAGGACCCAGGGAGAAAAGCACTTTGGTATGTTAAGGGAAAGTGTGATGGAGAGACTAAGCCTTGAAAGATGACAAGGAGTTTGCTAAGTGACCAAGCTAAGGGAAGGACAATTTGTAAAGGTCTAGTGGTTAAGAAGGGCATGATAATAGGAAGTTCAAGAGAATGCAGAAGAGTTAGCGCTAACAAGGTTTGAAATACCACCTAAATAAACTGATAATTCATCTGAGAGATGGGCACATATCTGCTTTCTTGACATTAAACACTCCCCCCCAAAATTTTTTTTAACTTTTGGAGCACAAATTTTAAAAGCCTAGGCAGCAGTTTGAAGACTGATATGTACCTTAGATTCAACTCATTCTAAAAAGGCATTAGGGATGGGGTGGGGAGCAGTGAGGGCAGGAATAAATAAATGTAGTATTTTTTTCCAGTAGCCTTAAGAGGGACATCTATCTGGTTCATCCTAGTTTCCTCTAAAGTATCAGAAAAAAAATTTAAAAATCACATCTTTCATTTTTGTTATTAAAATAATGCTTTGATACCATATCTACAAATAAATCTTTGTGCAAGTCTAAAATTATTGTCAGGATAGACAATTTTTATAGCCCTTCATATATCTGGTTTAGATTGCATAAACGGTATTTAAAAACAGTGCAAATAAACTGCAATGTATGTTTAGATATAACTTGAGTCACAAAAAAGAAAATGATAATTCTTCCAGGCTTTACATATCTTTGTTTTGTATACAGCCTGGCAATTTAAGGAGGGGGACTTCTACAGAAGTATTTTAGGGGTCAGTTTAGGGGAAGGACTCCTTTGTTTACATTTTTTTGGAAATAACAGGCATGACAATTTCCTTGGGAAAAAGTTTTTAATATCAACATACTGGGAATACACTTTTTGTGAATACAATATGCAATTGTTTAATATTATAAAATCATTAATTTTAGAAAGTTTCCAACTGTCTAAATACCAAAAGAATCCCATATTATGGCATAAACATGAACCACTTCTATATTATACCAAAATTAAAATTTACCCAGGTGCTAACATTGAGAAATGAGATAAAATACCAACATTATAAAGTTTACCCAGAAGAGATCAACAGTGACTTCATAGACTATCTTTACTGTATACCTATGTAAAGTTTTTTATTTTAGTTTTTTGAGACACATGACTTGTTATTTTAATAATATGATTCATATGTTTAACAGAGAGTTATAATATGGAGGGCAGAGAAGAGGATTTGGAGCCCAAAGACCAGTGTTCAATCTAGAACTTTTTGGATTATTGGCATTTCCATCCCTTGTGCCAGTTGGCACATAGTAAATGTCTGAATGAATAAATAAATGAACACAGATTTCTTCATCTGTAAATTGGAGATACGAACACCTACCACACAGAATATTTGTGAGAACAAGTAAGAGAACTAATGGGTGCCGTAGTGCTTTGTTTAAAAGTCTGTTAGTAGGGTTTGTTATTTTATAAAAATATCAAATGTCAAATAAACTCCATTATTTGGCTTTGATGTAGTATTTATTTAATTATGTTTTCCTTCTAAGATAGCATTAACAACAAGTTTTTTCAGTGTTCATTTTAAACAGAAAAAATGTCTTACAATTCATTAAAAACACTCTGTAATTCAGGTCAACACCAATGTCCTTCTACCTCCTTTGGCTAAGTCATTATCAGGAAATCTGTTTCATTTCAAAAGAAAGTATCTTATTAGAAAAAAAGGTCTAAAGTTTATATGTTCTCATTAAATTCCAATTCAACAGCATTTACCAAAGCCCTTCACAGATATTTCATTTATAACATTTATCATATTGTATTATAAACAATATTTCAGGAGACTGAGCAACTTCAGGGCAGAAAATCATGTCATATTCATCTTTATATCAAGTTCCTAGGCTTTGGCTGGTTCTCTGTAGAGGTTAGTGCCTCAGACATTGAATGAATGACAGACATAGAATGAACGAACAGAGGATATGTGTTGTGTCCAGCAGAGGACAAAGAGCTGTTATAACTTTGATTAGTTTTATGGCATATGGTCAAAGTGATAAGAAGTTAATCAACAAACTGAAAACAGGATTCTTTTTTTTTGAGGATTAGCACCTGAGCTAACATATTGCCAATCTCTTTTTTTTTCTTTGTCTTCTTCTCCCCAAAGCCCCCCAGTACATACTTGTATTTTCCGGTTTTAGGTCCTTCTGGTTGTGCTATGTGGGACGCTGCCTCAGCATGGCCTGATGGGCGGTGCTATGTCTGCACCCAGGATCCAAACCCACGAAACCCTGGGCCACCAAAGCAGAGTGTGCGAACTCAACCACTCAGCCATGGGGCCGGCCCCTGAAAACAGGATTTTAAAAGATTGCTTTTAGGTTTTTTCTATGAATGAAAGTAGTTTTAAGGTAGACAGATGTGTGTTAATAAAATAATTTGATGCAGGGAGAGTTTGGAGCATGTTATCAGGACAGTAACATAAAAATGACATGGAGAAAACAGCAAAAAAATTTACTTTGAAATTACTGTGTGGTAGTTTAATCAGTGTTCTCAAATAATAATGAATGAAGACTAACTTTGCCAAAAGCTTGTATTTTAGAATGTTTTGTTTTTGTGATTTTTAAAACATTATATTAAGATATCAAGCTATTACTGTAGATGGGAACCAGCCTGCATTAGTTAGTGTTCTCTTTTGTATTAGAGAGGGGCGGTGAACCCCATGAGGGTTTATACTTGGAAAACATAGTTTACGTTTAAATGATTATTTGACCAACTTATTTTGAGGTATAAAATACATACAGTTAGTGTTTGCTCATGATTATATATTGGTGAAAAGATATTTGAAAGAGTATTAGGAAAAAAAAGTGACAATTCCAAGGAGCTACATCAATATTTAAGATAAAGATAAAATGACTAACAAGGTTTACAATATACACAAAAGGGTTTTCATAAATATTTGTTCTAAGGTGCCTGATGATAACTAAAAGAGATTTTTCCTACTTTTGCCTTTGTAAATCCCCTTATTAAAAGAAAGCGTGCTAATACTGTCAAAAGACTGTTGCTAGGATCCAAGCAAATATCATTAAAAAAGTTTTAAAAAGTCTTTTTCATCATCAAATAGCCATTACCTTATAGGAAAGATTTACAGCAGTTTATGATTAGGTGTATGCTGCTTTCATATGGCAGTGTCAGAAGCTCGAATCAGGATTGAATAACTTGATTACACATTAATAAATTTTTACATGATTTGACCAAAGCTGTTTGAAGGAAAGGGTTCTTATTAAACTTTATCTGGTAAAATAAGGCAAACCGTTCAATTGTTCAAGTGGCAACTATAAGAATAGTTCTGATATTCTATTTGTAAATTAATTAGCATGTGCATAGCTTTATCAGAGAGAACCACATCTCATTCGCTTAGGCACTATGGTTGCCCTATTTGACACTCACTGAAAAAGGAGATATAAAAAACAAGCTGATGTGTAAGATAAACTGATTCCATTTTAAGTTACAAGTTGTGAAGATATGATAAATACTTTTCTACAATTAAATTCTATCGTGGGTTCATAACAAAAAAAAGCTTAAGAGTTTTGCTATCAACACACACAGGAGTAGAGGGAATATTCCTAAAATGGAACTTTCTGGCATGTTTGCTTATTAATGCATCAATTTCGAAAATGGAAATGTAATACTTTTATTATGAGAAAAATAGTATATTTATGTTTTTAAGTAAAAGCTAGATCCCCATCTCTGCATAATTTCACGACATATTTTCTTAGAAGATGAATATAATCACTACAACTTTTTACTAGTCTAAGGTACCTGAGGCCTTATCTAGCTTGGATGACTCAAGGGTACTTCACATTCAAAATTATTATTTCAAAATACAATCTATTTTAAAAGTAATATTCTTATGAAGGAGGCCACGATTAGCTCACTTTTACTGGTAAAAAGATACAGAAAGTTTAAATAAAAGAATTTTCCCTGAACCTCAGGTTTTTTTCTCTAAAGTTTCCAAATCACAGTGCCAATAATAAATTAATACAAACCCTAGCAGTTCTAAAGTCATATTCAATGTTGGTTAACTCCTACTTACCATCTTATTTAGAATGTAATATCCCAACTTTGGTACAGGAAAAAAATATTTCCTAATATAAATTAAACACATTGTCATAGAGTGTTCTTTAAAAGTAGTTTTAAAAGACAAAAACACAAAACACCTTGCAAAATACAATTTACTAACAAAATTTTTAAGTATGTAGTTCTCACATAAGGCACTTCCATTCTTTTTCAAAGTTTCATAGGAAGTTTTCCATTTTTTTTGGTAATCACATCTTCATAAATTATACAGGAGTAACGGTACTTCAAGTAAAACTATTAAATACCCACTTTTGGCATAATTGCGTTAAATATCTTTACCTTTGACTGGAACGAAGGATGGGCATCAAGTTCTATGCAGGGTAATTGTAAATGAAGGTACTCTTGGTCTGTTTTAGATTTTGAAAATTGGTAACATTTTACCTTGTTGATCTTGTTCAAGAATCTTGAAATCTTCCAAAGGAAGGCTGCTTAAGGCAGTTGGTAAAATGTGTTCTGATGTGCCAGCAGGTAATATGTTATTTGCTTCTAGATTCTTCACCAAGCACGTAGCTTTGATCCATCTTCGAGTTGCTCTGCGCTCTTTTTGTAGGCAAGTTTTCATTTTCCTTCTTAAGCTTGCTATTTCTTTTTCCAGTTTAATTATCCTCTTTTTTGCCTCCATAGGATTCCTAAAGGCATAACTGTGTTCAAGTAGTACTTGCTGACTACTAATGTTGGATTTTAAATTCGATGGTGCGGTTGGAGTACTGCTGTTGTTTTTCTTCAAAAGATTCCTTGACTTGAGTTTCTGAGCCAAATAAAATTAGAGGGTTGAACATAAAATATGGAATATCACAAATAAGTAAAGTTTGTCCAGTTTTGGATAACAGTATTTAAACTGCTCTTTTAAAAATTGATTCTAAAAGTTTGATAGGAAACATCAGCAGCCTATCTCATGTAATCATGGATTCAGGTTTCTCAACTGGTTGAATTGATTCCAGCCACCCATTTCTTTTTGTCTTGCCTCTCCAGAGAGATACAAACGTTGGTTTGGAGATAGACAATGGACTTCCAAGGTCTCTTCAAAACTATGGAGTATGATTCTACCAACACTTAAAAAATCCTTTGCAATTTTCTAAGACCAATATAGAATGTATAAAGACATTTGGTGTATGTGTGGTACTGATGTGATCTCTTTTTTTAGGTAAATAGTATTCTCTCAATTTGGTTAATATTTCAGTCCTGGGGTCCTGCTTAATGAAAACATCTTCTCACGTATCAAGCTCCTGAATAGATCTGCTTACTAACTGTTCACAGTTACATCTTCCATTCAAGGATTTAAAATCTGGCTAGGAAGATTTTGCCCAAATCAGAAACCCAAGGACCCTTTTTTTCCTTTATCTCTTTCATCCAGTTAGTCATCAAGTCTTATTAATTCCACCTCCTAAATATCTCTGTCATGAATCCTCTCCTCTCCATCATTCTTAATGCCACTGTCCACATCAGACCCATATCATGCCTGGCTTGAAATACTAAAAACTTCTTTCTAGATCTCCTCCTCATTCTGATCCTCACTAATCCATATTCTGCCACCAGAATAATTTTTCTAACAGATTTGATGTTTCTACACTGGCTAAATTCCTCTTTGCCTCCCCATTATCTAAAGAAAAAAATCTTTACATGGCATATTATACCATTTAGGATTTCATCCCATTCTGCCATTCATCATCCTGACTTATTCTCCAGCAAGACTAAACCACCTACAGTTTCCAGATTATGTCATAACCTCTTAAGTCTGTGTCTTTCATTTATTCAACAAACATTTAATGAAACACACAGGAATTAACTTAGGAATTCCTGGGGACATAATGGTAAAGAAGACAAATATGGTTCCTGTCCTCATGAAACCTGTAATTGGTATTGCCTTCTGCCTAGGGGAATTGGCAGGGACTTTTTATTTTTTTACTGAGGAAGATTTGCCCTGAGCTAACATCTGTGCCAGTCTTCCTCTATTTTGTATGTAGGTCACTGCCACAGTATGGCCAACAAGTCGTGTGTGTCTGCACCCGGGATTCAAACCCTTGAACCTGGGCTGCCAAAGCAGAGTGCACCAAACTTAACCACTATGCCATGGGGCCAGCCCCCAAGGACTGTTTTTGATCTTTTCTTCTTTTAATTTTTTTTAAGATTTTTTTTTTTTTTAGGAAGATTAGCCCTGAGCTAACATCTGCCACCAATCCTCCTCTTCTTGCTGTGGAAGGCTGGCCCTGAGCTAACATCTGTGCCCATCTTCCTCTACTTTATATGTGGGACACCTGCCACAGCATGGCTTGACAAGTTGTGCTTAGGTCTGCGCCCGGGATCCGAAATGGTGCACCCTGGGCTGCCGAAGCAGAACATGAGAACTTAACTCCTGTGCCACAGGCCGGCCCCGTTTTTGATCTTTATATCCTCAGTATCTAACTTAGATTCTGACAAAGTTTAGTAAATATTTGTTGAATGAATAAATGATCAAAATGCCAAAAAATAAGCTATACTTCAAATTCAATAAATATCTGAGTATGTGCTAAGTACCAGGCACTATTTGCGGTGCTGAGGGTTCAGAAGTGAGAGAGACAAAGTTCTTGCCCTCCTGGAGCTTTTCTAATATCTGTGATAATTAGTTCACCAGTTTCCTCTCCTGTTCACATCCTAACTCATGTATCTTCACACATTTAACTATCACAATAACTCAAGAAAAGCAGTGGTTTTTCCTCTTTTAGAGGAAAAGATGTCTGTCCCCCTCTTCAAAGCTACACCCTCTATTTTTGTTCATTCTACACCTTCTTTTTTTTTTTTTTAAAGATTTTATTTTTCCTTTTTCTCCCCAAAGCCCGCAGGTACATAGTTGTGTGTTTTTAGTTGTGGGTCCTTCTAGTTGTGCCATGTGGGATGCCGCCTCACCATGGCCTGATGAGTGGTGCTATGTCCACGCCCAGGATTCCAACTGGCAAAACCCTGGGCCGCCGAAGGGGAGCACGTGAACCTAACCACTCTGCCACAGGGCCGGCCCCATTCTACCCCTTCTTACCTTTCAGTGACCCTGTCTTTCTCAGCTAGCTTTTTCCTCTCTGATCAGATCTTCCCTAACTAGATAACATTGTTTTAATACATTCATCCTGTACCTTAATTCTCTCCTTCCTTTTAAATATCACTTGCTAACATGTGACTATTTTCGACTCACCCTCAACCCACTGGCTTTTGTGCTCACTGTGCTATTGCAACTGTCCTGTGAAAGGTCAAGAAGCCTCTCCTAAGTTCCAAACTCCAAGCTGAAGCCCAGCCTAAATGCTTAAGCTCTATGAAGTTTTCTTTTATGCCTCCCTCTGCACTTACATTTTTTGGTATAAATCTGGTATTCTTTGGGTGTGCTGTTCTTAAAGCACTTAGCGCAAATTTTGTATATCTTAAAATCAGAGCAGAGTGATGCTGGAGGTTTCATTATTCATGATTTCTCAGTTTTACCATTGATTGAATTATTGATAATAACTGGCAATAATGTAAAAACCCAACATAGTAAAACAATTTGGATTAGGGAAAGAATATTGGAGTCAGCAGAATTGAGATCTAATTCTAGCCTGCACCTTTACTGCGCAAGAGGAAGTTTTTCAACTTTCTTGAGGCATATCATTATATATGAATTTCAGTACATTCTGAATTGTTCTATTTTATAAACAAAAAGGAATGGGTTCTAAAAATGGTAAAAATGGAGTAAAAGTAACATTACCTACCATAGACTTTATATGGGTACAAAAATCAAAAATGGTTGGAACAGCATCCATTTTAAGTCGTCGAGTCTGTCCTGTTAGGTCAAAACAGGAGGCTTCAAAGTGCTTTGAACAAAGAAAAGTGTGTTTTCCTGGCACAAAATTTTTGCGCCTAACCAGGCGAACCCATTCTTTTCTTCTTTTAGGATCCAAAGGAAACCTTAAAAAAAAAAAAAAAAAAAAAAAAAGGCAAGTCAAATTCCAACTATCACACTTCTGGTTGCACCTAAGTGCTTAAAAGAAATTTTAAAAGGTGATGATTTAAAGTGTCTTCAATTTATATAAAAATTTTTAAATTCCCAATTTCCAGACACTGAAACAGAAACCAATTTACGCTAATTTCTATAAGTTGTAAAAAAATAAATAAAAAATTGACTTGAGGGTCAAAATTGACAGCCTGGTGGCATAGTAGTTAAGTTCACGCACTCTGCTTCAGTGGCCTGGGGTTTGCAGGTTCAGATCCCTGGTGAGGACCTGCACACCACTCATTGAGCCACACTGTGGTGGCGTCCCACGTACAAAATAGAGGAAGACTGGCACAGGTGTTAGCTCAGGGACAATCTTTCTCAGGCAAAAAGACAAAGATTGGCAACAGATACTAGCTTAGCAACAATCTTCCTCACCAAAAAAACCCAAAGAAACTGACTTGAATGGTTTTATTTCTCAGAGTTTTATAGAGAGACCTTTCTTCCCAACCTATTATTTAACATGGGTAGTAAAAATAAACGACTAAACTGATCTAGATCAAGTTTATGTGGAACCACTATGAGCAGGAGTAATTTCACAATGTACTTTTTTTCAGGGAAAGATTCGCCCTGAGCTAACTTCTGTTGCCAATCTTCCTCCTCTTTTCTTTTTCCATCCCCAAAGCCCCAGTGCATGGTTGTATATCCTAGATGTAAGTCCTTCTGGTTCTTCTACGTGCGCCACCGCCACAACATGGCAACTGACAGATGGGAAGTGTGGGTCCATGACTGGGAAACAAACCCAGGCCGCTGAAGCGTAATGCACCAAACTTGAACCACCACTAGGTCATCGGGCTGGCTCAGTTTCACAGTGTTTTGATCTGCTGATGTACATGGTCAAGGCAAATCAGATACCTACAGATTAAATCTCATCAAGGAAAGCATACACAGATTCTGGTATTCCTTCCACTGTGTTTCTTCATTATGACACTAACCACATTGTTCTGTAATTTTTCCATTTTAATAAATTTCCAGCAAAATAAAAGTAGATTATAAATTTCTTGAAGACAGGGATCATTAAATCTTTTCATCTGTCTTTAACACTTAGCATAGTGCCTTGCAACCAGTAGGGACTCAACAAAAAGTTGCTTAATTAATATGAATACAGAATATATAAATTAATAATTCATTGTATTACTTCCATGTAGTTAAAAGGCATATTTTTTAAAAAATAAACTCTTAAGCTATACAGTATTACAGAGTAAAATGCTGCTGCCAAGCCCAGCAGAAATGTTTTTCCTTCCATATTCATTTTAAGTGCAAAATATACTGATAAGTACTCAGTATATACCTATTAAGAAAGAAAACATAAGGGACTGTCTAAAAATTCTGGCGTTGTGTTGACTGCCTTAGAAACATAAGAATCTACATTGACTCGTAAGAAGTTTGAGTTGAACTCTTCTTTAGTTTGACTACCTTATCCTTTAAGTATTAATTACAAACTGACTAGTGTTTAAAAAGAACCATTAGATTCATGTTAGACAATCATGTGGATCAGAAGCGCCCAACTGAAGCTTTACTAGGTAACAGCTTTGGCTATATCAGATATACTAGGTTTGCTCAAATTACCAGCAGTGAGGGGCACAAAGAGGTGAAAGCCCAGATTTGCTGGTAAACACCCTCCCATCTCCTGTCCGTATGCCCCCAATCCCACACATATCCTAATCTGAGGATATTAACATTTGTCTATCACTCTACAGTTCAAATGTTTTCATACAAGTTTTTTCTATTTCATTAGAAACCTCTGATGGAGAATTTATCTACTCTGCCTAGCCCTCACCTCTTAATGTATTCTCATTTCAGAAATCTCTGTTCCAATATTTGGTGGTTTGGAAATGTTTCCTGAGGCCTAAACTAAAAATCAAGCTTTAATTTACAAGCACATTTCTTCTTGGGGACTCAAAAAAGGCTCAGAACAAATAAGTACTATCATTGTATTATCATTTGTTTAAGACTCTTCAGATATACAAAGAATGTCTTTCAGATAATATTTTTCAAACTTTTTTTTTTAGCTCTTTTAAACTAGCTCCCTAATTATGAAACCAGTGCCTCAAATTGAACCTTAATTTGACCAAATTCTGCTTCCTCTTTTTTAAGACTCAGTTTAGGAACCTCATCTTCCTATGGAGGTTTTTCATGGTCAGAAGACTGGGTTAGATGTCCACGATCATACAGAACTAACATCACTCTCTTCTAAGTGCTTACTTTTATGTCTCCACCACTAGGTCATTAAGTTTCTCCTGGTGAGGAGCTATGTTTTTCACTACTTTATCCTGTTACATAAGCACTACATGAATTTTTCTGAGTGAATCAATGAATGAACTAATGTGTTTAGTTTGGCATTACTAAATAATCTTCAGTTGTTTGTGGTGAAATAGAAGAATAGCCAACAATTCTGTATCTGATTTTGGATACTGTTTTATGCAGCATTAGCCTTAATCATGTTCTGCATGTGTGGTTTGGCTTTTTCTCAGCATTTTCAGAGAGTGAGAGATACAGCCTATAAGCTGAATTTAAGTAATAATAAATCATCCTGTAAATATTAAAAAGTTAACATGATGATAACAGACGGCTATATTTTTGTCTACACAGTAATAGAACCAAGCTTTCAGAAACATTAGATGTTTTGGAAAATCACTCAGTATTTTAAACGATGCTGTTTTGCTTGGATTTTTAATAAACAGCTGAATGCCTCTTACATTCCAAGCACTGTCCTAGGCACTAAAGACACAGTGGTAAACAAAACTGACCTACCTTTATGGTATCTACCTTCTCTGAGGGTATACTGTAAGGGGAAGGTAGAGAATCCAACAGCTCGATGTAGTAGAAAAGAGTAGCTGAGAGCACTGTCTCTGGAGTCAAACCAGGGTCCCACAATCCTTGCTCCTTCACGTAATAGCTGGGAGACTTTAGGCAGCTATTTAACCTTTTTAGGCCTTAGTTTTACCATCTATAAAGTGGAGTAATAATGGTACCTAGTGTGGTTCTAGGAATTAAGTAAGACAATGTAAGTAAATGCTTAGCCCAGTGCACAGTACGTGGTAAATACTAAATAAATGCTATTATTATAAAAGTAATTACACAAGTGCCATGAGTGTTATAAAAGGGCAAGTACAGGGGCCAGCCCGGTGGTGCAGCAGTTAAGTGCGCATGTTCCACTTTGGTGGCCTGGGGTCCGCCGGTTTGGATCCCGGGTGCGGACATATCACCGCTTGGCAAGCCATGCTGTGGTAGGCGTCCACATATAAAGCAGAGGAAGATGGGCACGGATGTTAGCTCAGGGCCAGCCTTCCTCAGCAAAAAGAGGAGGATTGGCAAATGTTAGCTCAGGGCTGATCTTCCTCAAAAAAAAAAAAAAAAAAAAGGGCAAGTACAGGGTTGCATGGAACCATAACACAGGAAGAGCTCATCTAGTCAGGAGGACTTAAGAGAGGAGGAATTAGCTGGAGAAATTAGGGTGGGAGTAGTGAAGAGTGCAGAGTATCTTAGGGACAAGGAAGAATGTTAGGACATGAAATGATGCTGGAGGGCCTTCTAAATTAAAGAGTAATTTTGAACTTTACCCAAAGTGGCATTGATAAGCCATTAAAAGGCCTAATTTAGAGAGCTGATTGTTAACAGAAAAAAAATTTTTTTTAAGATTTTTTTTTCTCCCCAAAGCCCCCCGTACATAGTTGTGTATTTTTAGTTGTGGGTCCTTCTAGTTGTTGCAGGTGGGACGCTGTCCCAGCGTGACTTGATGAGCAGTGCTATGTCTGCACCCAGGATCCGAACCAGCAAAACCCTGGGCCACCACAGTGGAGCATCAAACTCAACCACGCAGCAAGGGGCCCCTAACAGAGAATGTTTTAACCAGTTGTTAAACACAGCCATTATCAAATATTGTTATGCCAATTTGTAGTTAAATTAAAAACAAAGGTAATAAATACTAAGAACTCTCACTTCCTGATTATTTTGCTATTATTTGTGTCTCTTCCAGCTACATGGTATAAGCACTATATAATAATGTGGCACTGCACACTTCTTCCCAACTCCATGATCAGCGATGTTGTTAGTTTTAAATCAGTCACAGCAGGAGTATTTATCTCATGTACCTTGAGCCAACACTACAAATCAGGGCTTTTCCCCTTCCCTGGAGATCCTGTTGTTAAACATTTAGCAACACACCACTGATTACAGAAGAGCAGTTAGGAGTGCATGAATGGATGCAGTGAACCAGCTAAGAGCTGCTGTAATAATCCCATCAAGAGGGAATGGTGAGAAGTCAAGGGAGGAGGACCTCCCCGTTTCTGGATGGATGGTGTTTTCATTTACTGTACTGAGAAAGGGAATACAATATGGGAAGTGGTGTAGGTTAGGGGAAGGGCAGTTCATTAGTACAGTTTTGATATGTTGAATCTGGGGAACTGAAGAGACCAAGGAAGTATTGAGACATCCGGCCTACAGGCATGGAACTCACTGGAGATTTGGACTGGAAATGTTAATTGGGGAGGCATCAACAAGTAAATGTTAACTGAGGGCACAGGAACAGTTGAAATCAATTTGATAAGAGTGGGAAGACTTAGGTCAGTGGGTGGGGAGAGGGGCTGGCAGAAGAGATTGAAGATTGGCCAAAAAAGTAAGATAAAAATCACAAAATTAGTGTTAATTCAAAAGGAGAGTATTTCAAGGAGAAACGATCACATGCCAATGTAGGAGTGACAACTCATCAAGAGCAGTTTCAGAAGTTTGGGGAGACTGCGACTAGAGTGGGCTGAGCAAGAGAATAAAAATGGAGCCAGTAAATTTAGGCAATATAAGTTGTACATGGGGATAAAGAAGTCTACCAATGTCCTAGGAGAGGAGTTAGTTTTTGTATCTATGAAATAGGAATGTATTTTTATTATATTATTATTTTTAAGGCCTAAATTTCTGGGGTCACACATGAAAATGTTAATTTCATAGCAGGCAAATGGTCAAAATAGAAAGGAGGTATGCATGTTATTGTACCACTGTACTTCTCTTAAACATTCCATATTATTGGTGCCTTGACTCCTCCTTATCCCTCTTCTTCCAAATCAGATTACCAGATACAGCAGTTCCCCCTCAAACAGTTCTCAAATCTGTCCACCTCTTTCCATCCCTTTTGTCAGCACCTCTCCAGTCTAGGCCACTAGGTGGACTCTCCCGTGTTTTACTACAGGTTCCCAACTGTTTTCTCTATCCCCTCTCAAACTCTTCTAATCTACTGCTGGTTCTGCCAGCAAGGAAGGACATTGTTTAGCTCACAGTGGACACTGTAGCAGGATTTCCCTGTGAAAGAAATAGTAAGCTCCTTGCTCATCAAATACCTCTCTTGATGATGCTTGACCAGCACTGTAAGTAACACTGTAATTCTCCACATTGCAGCCAGAGGGATTTTTAATATGCAATTAAACCCTCCATGGCTTCTCAAGCTCTCTTTGGGTAAAACAGAAAATCCTTAAAGCAGCATACTGGACCAAATCTATGTCATCCTTTGGTCTCATGTGAAATATCACATCCTTTGAGAAGTGTTCTTTGACTTTCCAAGGCTAAGTTAGGTCTCCCTGAATGTCTCTTCTGTGGCCCTCAACCGTAATTATTTGTTTTCCTTTCTCGTTACACTCTCAACTCCAGGAAGAGGAGAATTTTCTGGATCCCTAGCACAATGCCAGGCAAAATAAAAACACGGTACACATGCGATAGATGGATGAGTAAAGTAGTTGAAAAACAGAAACATCACAAGGATTTTTTTAAGTGGCAACTTTTAATAAGGGTTTACATTTAGTCATAATGAGATGAGGAAAAGGTCAAGGATATAATTTTCTACATTCTAGGATCGACTTAAGCTGTGAGGTATATAGAATCAGAGCTGTTTGCACTTAACTTTTTTAACGCTTCTTCAGGCACACGGCAGGCACTTGCAGAGAAGGTAAACATTTACCGAGTACTTACTATATTTCACGTAGTGTTCAAAGTGCCTTCAAGAGTTCCGATTTGGCAGAAGGAAAGAATTTAGATTGCTCTTCCAGCAAACGAAGGAAAAACAAAACCTAAGGTCTTTCTATCGCTCTGTTCTTGTTAAGAATAGAAAACATCTCTCGCCCTTTCCCAACCCCGCTCAGTCCACGGCTACTCAATCCTCCGCAGAGTTGCTGGACTCGACTATTAGACATCTAAGCGCTCCCCTGTCGGTTCAGCTAGTGAGAACGTCCTAATTTTAACGGGACCATGGCAGGCTCTCACGGTGACTGCTGCCTTCAACAGGACTCCTCTCGCGGCATCATTTATGTCAAGACCCGGCGTCACCTACAGGAGTGGAAGAGCAGGAAACTAACGCGTCCTCCCGTCACTTCTCCCTAAGGAGTCGCTACCGTACAGATCGTGGACCGCCTTCATGGGGCGAAGACGCCTCCCCGAGGGCAGAGAATACGCGACAGACGCGAGACGCCCGCAGAGGGGAAGGGCCCGCGCCCGGTACCTGTGGAAGCTGACGTCCGCGTGCTTGTCGTAGGTGGCCGCGCAGCCCGCCGCCGCGCAGTGGGTCGGCATCTCCCCGGCCCGCCGGCCGCGCTCCCGCCGCTCAGTCGCCGCTCTCCGCCTCCACCAGCATGGCGGACGCACCCACCCCTCCCGGCCCCCGGCGCCGGCGGGACCCCCGCGTCTAGGGCGGGCGGCCGTCTTCGGAGCCGTCCACCCACACAGCTGCCTGCCCTCTCCCCGCCCATTGGTATCAACCGCTAGCGGCAGCGACGAAGAGCGGACCCGCCCACGCCACGCTCCCAAACACCCCAATGGGGGTGGCGCCATAGACTGCAAGTCCCACCGAGAATCTCGTTGTCCTATTGTTATCGCGTGAATTAGGAGCCTGTTTCCTGCGTGCCGCAGGAAGTGACGTCACGGGCACAGCCGCTTCCAGAGCCCCTTTCTCGCGAAGCGGAAGAGCCCTGGCCGCGGAGGAGCAAGGGGGCGCTAGGGCAGGAAGCTGGGCTGCGACGGTGCGGCGAGGAGGCGCTGGGGTGCGGGGAACTTGGGGAGCAGAGCCCGCTAGGCGTCGGGGCGGTGAGGCCGCGCCGCCGCGTCCGTTAGGGAAGCCGGGCGCCGAGAAGCAAGGATCCGGACGGAGGCTGAGGCTGTGTGGAGGGCGCCGCTCCGGGATGGCGACCGCGGAGACTCCGGCCCCGGCCGCCAGCGGCCTCTCGCCCAAGGAGGAAGGGGAGCTCGAGGACGGGGAGATCAGCGACGACGACAACAACAGCCAGGGCCGGAGCCGGAGCAGCAGCAGCAGCAGCGGCGCCGGGCTGCTGCCGTACCCGCGGCGCAGGCCGCCCCACCCGGCCCGGGGCGGCGGGTCCGGTGGCGGCTCCTCGTCGTCGTCGTGCTCGTCCCAGCAGCCGCCGAGGAGTTTCTCCCGCCCGCGGCACGCGTCGGAGCGGGGCCACCTCAGGGGACACAGCAGCTACCGACCCAAAGAGCCGTTCCGCTCCCACCCGCCCCCCGCGCGGATGCCCGCGAGCGCGCTGGCCGAGAGCAGCCCGCGGCCGTCTTTCTGGGAGCGCAGCCACCTCGCCCTGGACCGGTTCCGCTTCCGAGGCCGGCCGTACCGCGGCGGCAGCCGCTGGAGTCGGGGGCGCGGCGGGGGCGAGCGAGGCGGCAAGCCGGGGGGCCGGGCGCCGGGCGGAGGCGCGGGGCCCGGGTTCGGCAGCGGCCAGGGCTGGCGCGAGCCCTCCCCGCCGCGGAAGAGCTGTATCCTTCACGTGGCGGTCCGCCCTGGGCGTGTCGCTCCCGAGGCCCCGGGCGGCGGGACGGGCTGGGAGATGAGTAACTTTCCCGAGCGGCAGAGCCGCTTGCTTGTCCCGGCGGCGGCGCACTGGGAGCGAGTCGTCCGCTGGTAATCCCCGTGCGTCACGCTGGGGTGTGCTTTCTCGAGATCGCTTTATGGGGTCTGGGGCTTTTCGGCTTTCACGTGTTGTGGATTGGGGCCGAGCTAGTGGAATCCGAGACCGTCTAAAATCAGATTTGTAATAGTGCTTCAGAAGCCCAGGTTTCCTTAGCATTTGTTATTGTTGGTATCGGAAGTTTGTGTTTGACTCAGGTTGATTTAGATTGTTAGGAGGAGGAAAGATACAAAGTCAAACAATTTGGGGAATACTTGCTTATGTCGTATTGCACTTTGACACTGAAAATTAGGAAGTTTGATTCTGCATAATCCTGCTGTTTTTTATTTCTGGTTCTGTTTCTACTTTTCTCGATTTATTCTTACACATTGCTGTCTTTTGAAGAGGAAAGGGGAGGAAAAAGAACCTGGTATCTTCACTAACTTTGATTAATTCAGAGCTTTTAAATTCATATGTCTTTTCAGAAAACTTTTTCTCTTTCTGTTTCTTGTGTTCACTTTTTTGATAGTTTATAACCCTCACTGTTGACAAATGTGGGCCAGAGAGAGAAAGATAAACTTAACAGCATTTTGATTTTAATATTTTGGAAGCCGTGGAGTGTAGTGGAGAGTGGAGATTATGGAGAAGTTGAGAAGTACAATAGCAAAATATCTAATTTTGCTCCTCTAACCTCATTCTTAGTTATTTTTAACATTCCTGAGTTTACTCAGGATATCCAGATTTGCTATTTTATGATGGATTTGTAGAACTGCATGACTTGTTCCATGATAACTGCATAAAAATAGTGCACTAAGCACTTTTATTTCTGGTTGTAATTTCCATGGTGTAATGATTTTTTAATGTATTCATGATGTATGAAACTTACATATAATGACGTTTGTTTGGAAGACACTCAACATTATTTTTATAGATACTTAGGGCCAAAGGGTCTTCCCTAGATATCAGGATATAAAGGGGGCAAGAAATGTAGGTTTAGATAAGTAGTAGCAGCTTCTGGTGCTAGTGCCCTGAAAAAAAATTTGCTTCTGCAACCAAAAGTTGGGTTAGGAGCATTCCAGGATTGTTTCAGAAAAAAATCATGTAGGTATTTAACTTTTAAAAAGACTGTTCTTTCAATGAAGGTAGAAAGCCTCTGTCCAAGATCGGTGGGGTGTGGCCGCCCCGCCCACCCCCCCACCCCACACGGTAACATCTGTTGCCAATCTTCCTCCACCTTGTGTGTTGGTCCCTGCCGCACCATGGACGAAGAAGATGACGACGAGTGGTGCAGGTCGGGCCCATGATCCAAACTTGTGATCCCGGGCTGCTGAAGCAGAATTCGCCAAACTTAATCACCACGCCCTGGGACCAGACCCCAAGATATTTTTGAACCAGGGACTTGTTAGTTGTCAATTCTGCATCTAAAAACACAACGGCTTTTTAAGCACATATGTATTCTTTTAAGAATAAAAGAAGATGAAACTTGTTATTTGTGTTCCAGAGAGAAATGTAAATAAATACAGTTTAATGTAAAAAGTTCAAATTGAGGTATGTAAAAAGTACTGAGGCAGCTCAAAATTTTTTCTTAATTTATTCTATATTAGGGAAGGGGGTGATGGGTGGGCTTGCCTGCCTCCTGCCGTTGAGCTTCTTTCTGCCTTTGTTGTCTTTCTGTAACCGTTCATTCAATGCCACCTTGGCCTCTGTCATTTACCTTTATTAATTGTTAAGCTTACATGTTTTTATTAATAGACATATGATGTGAAAAAAGTACAGGCAAATAGCCAGTCTAATTTCTGTAGTAACTTAGCAGAAATGAGATATCCAGTTGTTTTTCTTTTTCTTTTTTTTTCTTTTTTTTTTTTTGAGGAAGATTAGCCCTGAGCTAATTACTGCCAGTCCTCCTCTTTTTTGCTGAGGAAGCCTAGCCCTGACCTAACATCCTGCGCATCTTCCTCTACTTTATACGTGGGACACCTACCACAGCATGGTGTACCAAGCAATGCCATGTCCGCACCCGGGATCCAAACCGGCAAACCCCGGGTTTCGGAGAAGTGGAACATGTGAACTTAACTGCTGCACCACCAGGCCGGCCCCTCCAGTTGTTTTTCTTTTCACAGATGCTGTACTTAAGAAAAAGATGCTTGTTTTGATCCTCTGCTCATTGTTTCCCTTGCGAAGTATCAGTAATCCATCCTAGGGGTGGTATTCTTTATAAGAATTTGTAAAGGAAAACTTAGTTCCCAGCCTCTTGTGTATAACATGAACAAACAAAATTTGCAATACAAAATTTTATTAATTCAAATTCTTTTAATACCATGATTGTACTCAGTTTAATTCATGTTTCTGCTGTGTGATTATAATAATGACATTTTTATTTTACAAATACTGCATTAAGAAAGAATGAGGATTATTGTGTGGCTTATTTCCATAATCTAGAAGTGAAGTAGCATGAGTACAGATGGTTGGTTGGTTTGTTTTAACTTCTTTCTCTGTAATGATTAAGATATGCTAGGTGCAGCTTTAAAGGAATAGAATAAACCAGATTTCTATTGCAGTACTTACTTTCATTCTTATTCATTTTTTAATTTTTCTTAGTGATACATACTTGTCAATCAATCTTAGCATGTATCTCCTTTGGATGATTACTATTTTAAACTTCTAAATCTGATAAGAGCTAACATGATTAGGTTAGTGTCTCTGATCAATAAAAAGTCACTGCATTTTCACCTGTAGTTGTAAAGGTTGAATAGCAGTTCTTTTTTTAAATCAGGTTTCATTTAGAAATTGCATCTTGACCAGCTTAAAATTAAATCTGTTAAGTGTTGGTTTCATCCTGGCTGTCCTGTATAGACAGAAGTAGGAGATTTCACTTAACCTTGAGGGGAGATGAGTTGGTTATAGTCATAACTCAATTGCTTTTCCTCGTTTTTCTGTTCTTTAGTTACTTTAATTTTTGTTAGTGTATTGAATCTTTTCCCTTTATGAATGTTTCCAAGGTCTTCAGTCTTTTGTTTTTAATTACTCTGGTTGTACCTTTAGCTAACTTCATTGAAAAGTGAGCTGTAAATGGAGATAATTGCAGAATTTATGTGCAAAGAGTACTTAATGGTGGCATGAGGGAGCAAGTAATTCTCTGGCTTCACATAGGAGATGACATTTGAATTGGGGTTAATTTGAAGAACAGAAGAACCTAGATACAAAGCTATGCATAAATTGTGATGAACAGGGAAAGGTGAGATTGGAAAGGAAGTATAGATCATATCAGGAAGGCGTTATATGCCATTATAAGGATTTTGGACTCTGTTCTTAGATTTAAAAAAGGGAAGAGATCTGATCAGATTTGTATTCTAGAAAGATCAGCAGCAGTATTGGGGATGGCTTGTGGGAGATAGAGCCCCAAGTGTCTATCCCGGGGCCAGATTTCTCTCTTGTAGTACGCAAAATATGGGAGTGCTTTAAAATGCTCGAAATGCAAAGAGAAAGAGGCTAAGTAGAGCTCACTGGAGAGTACCATTATTGCAAGAGTTGGAGAGAAAGGGGTTGTGAAGAGTTAGGAAAAAAAAGAGGAAGGGAAACAAGGGGAGAGTGGAGTTATGGAAGCCAAGAGAGAGGTAGTTAACAGTGTCCAGTGCTGCACAGGGGTCGGGTAAAATAAGATTCGAAAACATGGTGGATAAATTCAGCCAGCAGAAGCCAGATTCCATTTGGTTGAAGAGTCAGTAAGACAGGTAAGGAGAAACTAGTATTCTTTCAAGAAACTTGACTGAAAAGGAGAGGTCAGAGAACCAATGATTTACCAGAACAGTTTTGCTGCAGATCTGTTAGGATTTTCAATCATAATGCTCATTTAGTTTCTAAAATGTTTGGTGGTGATTCCCATTCTTGAATTGGTCATTAGGAAAGTTTAAAAAATCTTTGCAGGTGGCCGGGCTAGTGGCTTAGTGGTTAAGTTTGCGCGCTCTGCTTTCAGTGGCCCAGGGTTCACAGGTTTGGATCCCCGGCCTAGACCTGGCACTGTTGTCAAGCCACGCTGTGGCAGCATTCCACCTAAAGTAGAGGAAGATTTGCACA